AAGTGGCGCTGTGGCTCAAGTGGTAGAGCGCTAGCCTTGAGCTGAAGAGCTGAGGGACAGCGCCCAGGCCCAGAGTTCAGGCCCCACGACCGGACCAAAAAAAAAAAATCATGCAGGAATTAGTTGGGTTTCAATGGCCCATGGCTGTAATCCTAACTAGTCACAAGACTGAGATCTGAGGATTACAGTTTGAAATCAGTCTTTGAAGAAAAGTTCACGAGACTCTTATCTCTCAATAAACTTCTAAAAAAGACAAAAGTGGAGCTGTAGCTCAAGTGGTAAATCATTAGCTTTGATTAACAGAAGCTCAGGGACAGGGCCCAGACCCTGAGTTCAAGCCCCAGAATGAGTGGGGGGAAAAACAAAGTCCATTCAGGAATTAAACTCTGTTTTCGAAGAGCTGTCTGTTTCATAGGGAAGATAAGACAAAGCATCACAGTGTTTCCAGTTATGAACTTGGAGCAAAGAGGACATTATTTCCTGAATGTCCCATATATAAAATTGTAACAATAAGTTTCTGTGCCTGCCTTTATGTCATTGACAACATATGAGACATTTTTTTTAAAAAAGAACAACGTGGTAAATTCTTCAAGATAGTGAATCTCAGGACAGGCACAGAGAAAGTGCAGGGTGCATTCAGAGAAAGAGTTGGGTTTCTGATCGTTCTTGAGGATAACTAGAATTTCGACACAGCAGGGGAGGTAAGAATATCTCGATGCATACAGAGGTGTATATTGTTAAACCCAAACTCGGAATCTTGCTTGTTGTTTTCAGATCCATATCATTTATTTATTATTTCTCCATAGCTAAATAAATTCTTCTGTTTTTTTCTTCTTTTTTTTTCATCTAGGCTGACCTGGAACTTGCTCTCCTCCTACCTTATCCTCTTAGGTACTGGGATTACAAGTGTGTACCACTGCATCTGGCTCTGCTTTAGGGGCCTTCTTTCCCTCCCTACTCTGGGTCTCAAGGCCTGGGCACTGTCCTTGAGCTTCAGGCTAGTTATCTACCACTTGAGCCACAGCACCACTTCTATCTTTTTCTGAGTAGTTTATTGGAGATAAGAGTCACTTATGGGCTTTCCTGCCCAGGCTGGCTTCAAACCATGATCCTTAGGTCTCAGCCTCAAATAGCTGGGATTACAGGCATGAGCCACTGGCGCCCAGCTTTGTTCATATGCTTTTGATTCTTTGTTGAAAAAATTTTGATTAAATTTATGTAAATATCTGTCCTGTTTAGATATTGACTAAGGACCTGGAAAGACATGCAGCAGAATTACAAGCCCAAGAAGGATTGCCTAGTGATGGAGAAACAATGGTAAATGTGCCACACATTTATGCAAGGTAAGAAACCTGCTATTGTTACTTAGAATAGGGTCTTGAAAGCTATTTCAGAATAACCTCATTTTACAAAAACAAGGCAGTGAGTAAAAATGGTATGTGTTCTTTGTCAATTTCATTATCATACCAAAGTAAATTCACTGATAATTACTCAAAGAAAAATGATGGGAATCCATATATATGTTCTGCCCAAATAAGTTGATTTCCTAACCTAAAAGTTTTTGCAAACACTGGTTACAGTGTATTATTACCAAGATTGATACACTGAGGGACATGTGTATTTTGTTAAATTATTAGGTTGTTATTGGACCCAAGGGATTAAATGAAATTATTTTTCTTGAATTCCTCTTTATTTTTATTTTTTTCAATTGTGGGGCTTAAACTTTTTAGGGCCTTAGGTGCTGTCCCTGAACTTTTGTGCTCAAGGCTAGTGCTTTTGTGCTCAAGGCTATCATTCTACATCACTTTGAGCCATAGTACCACTTCTGGTTTTCTGGTGGTTAATTAGAAATGAAAGTCTAAAAGACTTTCCTGCTTGGGTTGGCTTTTGAACCGTGATCCTCAGATCTCAGCCTCCTGAATAGCTAGGATTGCAGGCGTGAGCCACCAGCACTCAGCTCTCTTTTTTGTATTTTGAGATTGTAAATTCACTGAGATAAATAAGAAAATCATCAAGGTTTTCTTTTTCTTTTCCAAATTTTGTAGAATTTGCATTAGTTTTATCTAAAGAATTAAAACTAGGTTTTGTTTGTTTTTTTGATATTCTCCTTTGCTTTCCCACTTTTCCATAGATAGATAGTGACCTAGGCATTAAAAAAAGGTGATTTAAGTGGTGCTGTGGCTCAAGCGGTAGAGCGCTCGCCTTGAGCTGAAGAGCGCAGGGACAGTGCCCAAGCCCAGAGTTCAAGCCCCACAACCGACAAAAAAAATAAACTATTCTAACATTATAAAGGGCTGGGAAGGTGGCTGGCTCAGTGGTAGAGCGCTTGCCTTGCATGCATGAGGCCCTGGGTTCGATTCCTCAGCACCATATAAGCAAAAAGAAAAAAAAAAAGGTGATTTAGCCAGGTGCCAGTCCTAGCTATTCAGGAGGCTGAGATCTGAGGATCGAGGTTCAAAGCCAAACCGAACAGGAAAAGTCCATGAGACTCTTATCTCCAATAAGCTACTCCGAAAACCGGAAGTGGTACTGTGGCTCAAATAGTAGAGCGCTAGCCTTGAGCTGAAGAGCTGAAGGATAGTACCCAGGCCCAGAGTTCAAGCCCCACTACCGACAAAAAAGAAAAGGAAATTTAGTACATAGATTTTTTAATTTTATTTTTATTTAAACTTAATTTTTTTGTTCCCATACGAGGGCTTAAACTCAGGATCTAGGCACTGTCCCTTAGTTTTTTGCTCAAGGCTTACACACCACCACTTGTCTCACCTCCACATGGGGCTTTTTATTGCTTAATTGGAGATACAAGTCTCATGGACTTTCTGCCTGAGCTGGCTTCAAACTGTGATCCTCAGATCTCAAGCCTCCTGAGTAACAGGTGTGAGCCACCAGTGCCTGGCTTATTTTTGTGTGTTAGTTTATTTTTTGTCGGTCATGGGGCTTGAACTCAGTGCCTTGTTACTGTCCCCGAGCTCTTTTGTTCAAGGCTAACACTCTACCACTTGAAAGTGCCACTTTCAATTTTCTATTGGTTTATTGGAGATAAAAGTCTCTCAGACTTTCCTGCCTGGGCTAGCTTCAAACCATGATTCTCAGATCTCAGCCTCCAGAATAGCTAAGATTATAGGCTGAGCCACTCGAGCCTGGCTCATTTTTATTTTCAAGAATAGTTTTAATTCTTTTGAGCTTTGATAGAGAAAGGGAAAATATGGTTTGAGAATTTTACAATTGCTCCTAAAAGAAACTTGTAAAAAAAGATCTCAGAGATTGTTCATGTAAACTTATAGACAAATATGTTCCTTTCTTATTTTTAGGGTATACAACTATGAGCCCTTGACACACCTCAAGAATATCCGTGCAAATTACTATGGAAAATACATTGCACTGAGAGGAACAGTGGTTCGAGTCAGTAATATAAAGCCTCTTTGCACAAAGATGGCTTTTCTTTGCTCTGCATGTGGAGAGGTTCAGAGTGTTTCTCTTCCAGATGGAAAATATAATCTTCCCACAAAGGTTAAGTGTTTTTTAACTGCCTCATTATCATGATAACACTGGCAAATCAATTTACAGGGATTACTGTTGTTTTGTTTTGTGACAGTCCTCAACCTTGAACTCAAGGCCTGAGCACTGTTCCTGAACTATTTTGCTCTAGGCTAGTATTCTAGTATTCTGCTTGAACCACAGGTGGATGTACAGCCTTTTTTTTTTTTTCTGTTTTAAATTGGAGGTAAGAGTCTCCTCCTTTCCTGCCAGACTAGATTTGAACCACCATTGGCAGATTTCAGCCTCTTGAGTAGCCAGATTACAGGCTTGAGTCACTGGTGCCCAGCTAGGGATCACTTTTTTTTTGTTGGTTGGGTCTGGGCACCGTCCCTCAGCTCTTCAGCTCAAGGCTACCACTTGAGCCACAGTACCACTTCCCGTTTTCTGGTGGCTTATTAGAGATAAGAGTCTCAGGGGCTTTCCTTCCTGGGCTGGCTTTGAACCGTGATCCTCAGATTTCAGCGTGAGCCACCAGCGCCCCGGCTTAGGGCTCACTTCTTAATGTTTCTAAAAACAATATTTTCTTTTTACTTTATGACCTACTTCAGAATACAAGAGGAAATATTGAAGTAAAAAGCATTCCTTTACCCATTGCCCAGAATTTTTTTTTAGCTCTAGATAGATTTTTTTTTTTTGTACTGGCCTGGGACTTGAACTCAAGACCTAGGCTCTGTTCTTGAGATTTTTTTTGCTCAAGATTAGTGCTCTCTGACTGGAGTCCCAGTTCCACTTCTGGTGTTTTTGCTGGTTAATTGGAGAAAAGAGTCTTATGTACTTTCCTGTTCAGGCTAGCTTTAACCTGCAATCCTCAGATCTCAGCCTCCTGAGAGCTAGGACTCTAGACATCAGCCAACTGTGCCTGGCTTTAGATAGATTAAAAAAAAAGTTCCTTAAGTTAGGTAATGAGTACATTTCTTTTTTGGACAATGTCATCTCTTCCTTTGCTTTCTCCTAGTTTTCCCCTAATATCCTCTGTCTAATCTAGAGAGATTTTTTTTCTTTTATTGAGATTAAGAGTACATAAATTTCACAATATTGGCATAGTGATACTTAGTTAAAGCCACAAACATGTTTTAACCTTCACTAGGCACATTGTCATTATCATAGTCTGTAATGCTTATGGACTCTACGGCTATTTTTTCCAAATTCGGTGATACGTACATTTCTTTCCTTTTGCTTAGTGTAAGCTGTTCCCTCTGTCTCATTCCCTCCCTCCCATTGCTGCCCTTGAGTTTCTAGATAGATTTTTTTTTTTTGGTCCGGTCGTGGGGCCTGAACTCTGGGCCTGGGCGCTGTCCCTCAGCTCTTCAGCTCAAAGCTAGCGCTCTACCACCTGAGCCACAGTACCACTTCCGGTTTTTTCTTTTTTGCTTATGTGGTGCTGAGGAATCGAACCCAGGGCCTTGAGCATGCAAGGCAAGCGCTCTACCACTGAGCCACCTTCCCAGCCCTCTAGATAGATTTTTAAAGATACAATGCATTAGTTTCTTTGCTTGTACCATCCCAGAGTCTGTCATTATCTTGCATTGTTCATCTTTCCCTTCATATATCTTAGTTTTTACTTAATAGGTATATTGAAAGCTTTCTTTCTTTTATTCTTTCTACCTTTTGGAAATGATGGGTTTTTTTGTTCTAAATTTTCAAAGAATAAAGTACAGAGAATAATATAAATAATATCTGTGTATCCTCCATGATAGGCAGGCAGATAATAACCTTTCATTATTTTAGCTTAATTTTTTAACCAAAATATAAGGTTTTAAAGTTTATTTTTGTGGTACTGGGGCATGAACTTGAGATCTTATGCTTGGTAGGCTGGCACTGTATCACTTGAATCACATCTCCAGCTCTGGTTTTTGTTGGTTATTTTGGAGATGGAGTCTAGTGAATGTTTCTACCTGGGCTAGCCTTGAGCCACAATCCTTCAGATCTCAGCATCACTCTGTTACATTTTGCTGGTTACAGAATGAATCACAAGCCTGCCCCAGATTTCAAGAGAAGGAATTAGAGTCCATCTCTTGATAGGGGAGCAGCAAATTTCTAGAAAGGGGGAAATATATTGCAGTGATATTTGGAATACACAGTCTATCACAATATCTGGGTTTTTAAATGCATATGGAGGTCTAAACACCAGAACACAGTTGGTTTATATTCTGAGGACTGCCTATTCAGTACAGTATATATACCATACAAACAATATAAAAAAGATACTATTAATGGTGGTCTAAGAAAGCGTATGTGTGTGTGTGTGTGTGTTTAAACTTAGGGCCTGGGCACTGTCCCTGAGCCTCTTAGTGCTCAAGGCTAGCATTCTACCACTTGAGCCACCGTGCCACTCCTGGCTTTTTCTGTTTATGTGGTATTGAGGAATCGAACCCAGGGCTTTATGCATGCTAAGCAAGCACTCCACCACTAAGCCACATTTCCAGCCCCTAAGAAAGCCTTTTGAAAAGGAGAGAATTGGGCTGGAATATGTAGGATTGAAGGAGAGGGGGGCCTTCAAGAAGCCCAAGGAATGAGAGAGTGCATGAGCACAGAGGAAGGAAGGAATATACAGGGAGGCTTGCATGACCATAGCAAACAGAATAAGATTAGGAAGTAAAAGGACCAGCCAGAAAAGTACCTTGGAAACTTGTGATTCCCATCTATTCCAGGAAAAAAACAGAAAGTCATTACAGTTCTTGATGGATCTTACTTTAGCGAAGTATTATGAATTTAATTTTCCTGTAATGTGACTATAATATCAAACTCTGAATGTGAATTACTCTTGTTGCAGTGTCCTGTGCCTGAATGTCATGGGAAGTCATTTGTTCCTCTACACAGCTCACCTCTCACAGTTACAATGGACTGGCAGTCAATTAAGTAAGCAAACTACTGTTAAATAAAAGGCAGGTTTATGATTCTCATACTGCTGAGTAAATCTGTAATTTTGCTATGTTACATATATACCATATTACACTGTTAAAATGATAGATTTTTATTGGATGAGGATGAGTCATAGTAATTATGTGTGTTTGAAATTTATTCTCTATTGGGTCCCAGAAAAGATGTTACATACTTTTATTGTTGTTGTTGGTCGTAGAGTTTGAGATAATGAGCTGGGCACTGTCCCTGAGCTTTTTCACTCAAGGCTAGCACTCTACCACTTTGAGTCACAACTCCACTTTCGGATTTTGGGTGGTTGGTTGAGATAAGTGTCTCACAGACTTTCCTGCCTAGACTGGCTTTGAACCGTAATCCTCAGATCTCAGCCACCTGAGTAGTTAGAATTATAGGCATAGGCCACTGTGCCCAGCTTGTTACATACTTTCCTGAGACTTAGTAATCTAGACATGTGCCATTCTGAGAATTTACATTGCCCTATGTGAGTTGAAAGAGAATTGAAGGAAGGAAATTGAGGGGCAGAGTTTGAGATTATGCAGGTTAGATGGATGTGGTACCTGGCCAAGCCCTCAGGAGTACTGGGAGATATACTAGATTATAAAATTTCAACAATTTCAAAGTTAGTATTTTGATGTTCAATGTTTATACTTACATTCATTAGTTAAATATATAAAATACTTTATTTTTTATTTTATTATTATTATTTTTTTGTAGCTCATGGGTCTGAACTCTGGGCCTAGGCGCTGTCCCTTAGCTCTTCAGTTCAAGGTTAGTGTTCTACCACTTGAGCCACAGCGCCAGTTTGAGCTTTTTCTGTGTATGTGGTGCTGAGGAATTGAACCCAAGGCCTCATGCATGCAAGCACTCTACCTCTGAGCCACCTTCCCAGCTCATAAAGAAAATATTTTAATGTTACCTGTGTAGTATTCTGATTTCCCAGTAAGATATGTCAGCACTCAGTCAATCTGGCTGGAAGCCTTTTTCTAGCCATAAGGTGACTGTCTCCAGCTAGCAGAGCTTTGGAGAACAGGCCTGTTTGTTTTTCATGGAGGATTTTTATAGGAAGGGGTTACACTCAGGTGATGTTTGCCAAAGCAAGCAAGCAAAGTTACATAAGCAAACTATAGTCTTGAGTCACAAAAGCATAAGCAAAACATAATCTTGACCTTGTCAGCATGACTGATACTATCAATGTTATTGATACTATTGATACTTTTTACAAAAAGTCAAAGCATATCCTTGGATTACAGAAGTTAAAATACAACTTTGGGTAGAGGTAGTCTGTTTTACAGAAATGATTTTTATTATAAGCTTCTGACTAATACATCAACTCAATACAGCTGGTGATAAGCCTCAAGATTGTCAGTGGCCTTCAGCAAAGTTTGTGGTAAACTGTAAAGCTTCCAGCTTGGTAAACTTGGGTAAGGGAGAGTTGTATCCTTTTTAGCAAGGATGGAAACGGCTGTTTGACCTGGAGTTTCTCTGTACAGAGGGACTCTGCCTTTAATATTTGGCCCTATTTTTAATAATCAATAATTTTGGTCTTTCTGATTTCACATTTCACAACCTATAAATGGTTTTAAAAGTTCAGTTAGTATGGAAAGTAACAGTTACCATAGTTTCCTGTTACTTTATTAAATTTAGATAAGGTCTTTTTCCTTGATGTTAGTGCATCCACTCTTACGTGAGTAGAGGACATCAGAGAGATGTGTTTGCTTTTATGTCTTCTAATTCAAGAGTTTCTCAGTTTTGGGCTGGGAAGGGGGGCTCAGTGGTAGAGCTCTTGCCTTGCACGCATGAGGCCCTGGGTTCGATTCCTCAGCACCACATAAGCAAAAAGAAAAAAGCCGGAAGTGGCGCTGTGGCTCAGGTGGTAGAGTGCTAGCCTTGAGCTGAAGAGCTGAGGGACAGCACCCAGGCCCAGAGTTCAGACCCCACAACCGGACTCAAAAAAAAAGAGTTTCTCAATTTTGATGTTACCTTAAATTGTTAAAGAATATATTCTGTTTTCCAATTTTAGTTGTCTCTCAGCTTTGTTTGCAGGTTATGTCTAGCAAAAATCACAAATGGTATTTACAATTTTATAATAATGTAAATGTTGTTTGACAAAGAACTAAGTAAAGGGAAATAAACGTCAAGAAAAGGAGACATAATTTATGTCACTGGGTGGTTTGGTTTTGTTGTTTCTTTTTCTTTCCTTTTTTTTAGTCAGTTGTAGGGCTTGAACTCAGGGCCTGGGCACTGTCCCTGAGCTCTTTTGCTCCAGGCTAGCACTCCACCATGTTGAACTATAGCTCTACTTTCAGTTTTTGAGTGGTTAATTGGAGAAAAGAGTCTCATGAGGATTTTCTACCCAGGCTGGCTTCAAACCATGATCCTCAGATCTCAGCCTCCTGAATAGCTGGGATTATAGGTATGAGCCACCGATATGTGGCTGTTTTTGTTGTTTCTTTTTCTTTTTATGTGTATAAATTTGTATATATATGTATATATATATATTTATATTTATTGTAAAGGCAATGTACAGAGGGGTTACAGTTACATAAGTCAGATAATGAATACATTTCTTTTTGAACAATGTCACCCCTACCCTTGCCCTCTTCCAGTTTTTCCCTCCTGTCCCCACCTACAAGATGTATATTTCATTTTCAACTAAGTGTCTAGTGAGTATCACTGCTGCATTTGTTTACCTTAGTCCCTCCATTTCTGTGCTTCCACTTATTCTCTCAAAGACAGATAAACTAACAAACTGGAAAAAAGGTAAAGAAAACAAAAACAGCAACAATTAACAACCAGGAAACTGGAAGCAGAACTGTGGCTCAAAATGATAGAGCACTAGCCTTGAGCAGAAAAGCTCAGGGGGGCTGGGAAGGTGGCTCAGTGGTAGAGCGCTTGCTTTGCATGCATGAGGCCCTGGGTTCAATTCCTCAGCACCACATAAGCAAAAAGAAAAAAATCTGGAAGTGGCGCTGTGCTCAAGTGGTAGAGCGCTAGCCTTGAGCTGAAGAGCTGAGGGGCAGTGCCCAGGCCCAGAGTTCAGGCCCCACAACCGGACCCCCCCCCAAAAAAACCCTAAGTAATCCATTAATTAATGAATATTAAATACTTCTCTACATTTAAAAAAAAAAAGAAAGAAAAGCTCAGGGACAGCACCCAGACCCTGAGTTCAAGCCCCACAACTAAACAACAACAACCAAAAAATACTCCCATTATCTGCTCCAGATTCCTACAATAGATGGGATATTGGACTGTTGTTAAATGATATTGCCAAATGACTCAGCCTAGAACCCCAGGGTGCTCCTGCATTTGGTGCCACCTGATGGCCTATGTCTTCTCTGTCTTCATATCCCTCCATACAACTATTTATCCTCACAATTATTTATCCTTTGGGGATGGACAGAGCAGTGCTAAAGTAGACAAATAGTAGGGTAAAAGATATGAACTGGTATGGTCTCAAGAAAACTAGAGAACTTAGTCACCCTAATTCTGAATCTTGTGTCCAGCTGAGACTTTAAGGAATCTCCTTGGTTGATGCTTGCTTGCTTGGGTTGTTGATTAGTGCCTGAAACCAGGATCACAAAAATCTATTCTGTGGAGTGCTTGAGATAGGGGTAGGGTTCTGTTTCCTGGTCCTCTCCTACATTGACCAGTGTCTGGCTGTTTTTGTTGTTTCTTTATTTTTTTTATTTTTATTTTTTGGGTCCGGTCGTGGGGCCTGAACTCTGGGCCTGGGTACTGTCCCTCAGCTCTTCAGCTCAAGGCTAGCACTCTACCACTTGAGCCACAGCGCCACTTCCGGCTTTTTTCTTTTTACTTATGTGGTGCTGAGGAATCAAACCCAGGGCCTCAGGCATGCAAAGCAAGCGCTCTACCACTGAGCCACCTTCCTAGCCCCTTTGTTGTTTCTTTATGACTTAAATGAAAATGATTTGAGCATCAAAGTCAAATGATCTTGTACTCCATTGGCTGTACAGCATTATCTATATATTTCAGTGTGCTTCATGTTTGGACTAGAGCACTGTTTAGCACTTTATTTTTCCTAAGGTTTCTAAATGATGATACAGCTTCTAATATATACCTTCACTATTTCTATCATGTTTTTCCCATCTGTATTAAGCTCTTTTTTTTTTGTTTTGTTTTGTTTTTTGGGTACGGTCGTGGGGCCTGAACTCTGGGCCTGGACACTGTCCCTCAGCTCTTCAGCTCAAGGCTAGCGCTCTACCACTTGCGCCACAGCGCCACTTCCAGCTTTTTTCTTTTTTGCTTATGTGGTGCTGAGGAATCGAACCCAGGGCCTCATGCATGCAAGGCAAGTGCTCTTCCACTGAGCCACCTTCCCAGCCCTAAGCTCATTTTTTTAAACTACAATGAAATACTTGAGACTGAGTACTTACAAAGGAAAGAAGGTTTTTTTTTTTTTTATTTTTTTCCTCTTTTTTTGGTGCCAGTCCTGAACTCAGGGCCTGAGTGTTATCCCTGAGCTCTTTTTGCTCAGGACTAGGGCTCTATCACTTGAGCCATAGCTCCACTTTTGGCTTTTTGGTGGTTAAATGGAGATAAGGGAAGAAATTCAGACTTTCCTGCCCAGGCTGGCTTTGAACTGTGATCCTCAGATCTCAGCCTTCTAAGTAGCTAGGATTACAGGTGTGATTGGCTCACAGTTTTGAAGACTGAAATTCCAAAATAGCATAGCACATATTCTGGCAAGAGCCCCCATGGCTGCACCAACTTTGTGCCAGTGGTGCCACAACAGTAGAAGATATGCAGAGAGGAGATCACATGGCAAAACTGGAAGCTAGAGCAGGAGGTAGGTCCTGTCTCTGGGGCCAGGCTCCCAACTAATACCCCTTGGGATATACTCAAATCATAAGACACTTTCAAATATATCTTTTAATACATGGAATTCAGCTTTTGTAGGAGGAAGGGAGAGACTACAGAGGTATCTTTCTGAACTCTACTTGAATCTAGGTCACTTTTTCTCTATACCTACAGCCCTTTTCCATCCTGGGATTTCTTCAGGGCTCTGCTGGAATTAGGCCATCTGTTTTCTTGAGATTTATTTTCTATTTTTGAAGATTCCAATTTTGGTTTTCTAGAGAAATTTTCATGTAAATTTTCTCTTTTAAAAAATTGTTATTATAGCCAGGTGCTAGTGGCTCACACCTGTAATCCTAGCTACTCAGGAGGCTGAGGTCTGGGGATCATGGTTCAAAGCCAGCCGGGGCAGGAAAGACCGTGAGACTCCTATCTCCAATAAACTATTAGAAAACTGGAAGTGGTGCTGTAGCTGAAGCGGTAGAGCGCTCACCTTGAGCTGAAGGGCTGAGGGACAGCGCCCAGGCCCAGAGTTCAAGCCCCATGACCGACAAAGAAAAATTTAAAAAAATTGCTATTATAAAGATAATGTACAGAGGGATTACAGATACATAAGCCAGGTAAAGAGTACATTTGTTTTTGGACAATGTCATCCTTTCCCTTGCACTCTCCTCAAGTAAATTTTCAAAAAATGTGTTTGAGCGGTAAAATGTTCTGGGTCTATGGCATATCTGGAAATGTCTATTTGTATCTTAGCCTGGGTAAAGGTTTACCTCATTACTCAAGTTTGTTTACTTTTCTCTGCTGTTGGTAAGAGAGTTGATGGTCATTCCTTTGAAAGGATTGGACTATCCCTTTCTGTGTATTCTCTTTATCTGTAGTATTCTGAAACAGTGCATTTAGTCATGGTTTGGTATCCCCTTAGATAGATCCTTTTGTCCTGCACTTATTATCAACTCAAGTCTGGCTGTTTTCTCTTTGGGGTCACATATCAGATGCATCCCTTGCCTTATAATAGACCCTTGGAATCTGAAACCATGTACCTGCATGACTTCAAGGAAAAACTTAAAATGTCAGGATGCCTGAAGTTCAGTATTCTACTATATGGTTGCTTGATTCATGTTTCCTGTAAAGCAGTCTAACTTCTGATAAAAACATGCTACTTTCTGATGAAGTGCACTCTTTGTCACTTAAGCACACTAACATTTTCCTTGCTTTTGAAGCATCATTTGCTTTTTGGGTCCAGTCGTGGGGCCTGAACTCTGGCCTGGGCGCTGTCCTTCAGCTCTTCAGCTCAAGGCTAGCACTTTACCACTTGAGCCACAGCGCCACTTCCGGCTTTTTTCTTTTTGCTTATGTGTTGCTGAGGAATCGAACCCAGGGCCTCATGCATGCAAGGCAAGCGCTCTACCACTGAGCCACCTTCCCAGCCCCATCATTTGCTTTTTGGAAAGCATATTTTCACAAAATGCAGGACATAGGAACACTCAGCAGATCACATGAAACAATGAATGATTCGTGGAACTGACTTAGAGCTTCTCCACATCATCTGTGCTGTACACATATGTATGAGAATGTAAAATTATTGTTTGTGAAATTTTTTTATTTTTATTTATTTTCTGACTATGCTTAATCAAAATCACATGTGATAAATCCATGAATAAGGCAGACCACCTATTCTCTCACCCTTTCATTTTCTTTATTCTGTTTTCTAAATTTCTCTGGCTTTTGTTTGACTTTTATATACATGTTTTTAGTTTTCTGATTTCATGCTCATTTTTCCTATAGTTCCTTTAAGCAGCTTGTTTTTATTTTATGATCGCAACATTTCTCAAAACAGTTTAAGTGTTCTCCTTCCTGAATTACTGCATTTCATTCTTGAAAGCCTGGTGAGAAATGAGAAGTCGTTTGAAGTAGTTAGGGTAGGTGTCCTTTGCTCTTGTAGGTAGGAGGTTTTCTTCATCAAGCCTCACTTTTTTTTTTTTTCAAATTCTTTATTGTGATTAAGTGGTTGCATAATTTCCCAAATTTCACAGTATTGTGGGATAGTGATGCTTAGTTAAAGTCACAAACACATTCTAACTTTCATGGGAAAAATTGTCTGTCGTGGTCTATAACATTTATGAGTTCTATGAGCTTTGACAATACAGTTATTTCTTCCACATTGGGCGATATGTACATTTCCGTCTTTCCCACTCATTCCCTTCCCTCCCATCACTGCCATTGAGTTGTCAAGCTTCACTTTTAAATAAGAAGGAATTTTGACTAATAAAAGTAGGTTTTTGAATTGGTTTGAGCTTCTCGAATACCAAAATGAAGAAACTTTGTTCTGGAGTCCTAAAAGCCTTACTGGACACCTCAACTCTCCACTTAGAGAGAATAGGTCCATTGCCATAGAAAAGTGTTTTAGCCGGTGCCTGTAATCCTAGCTACTCAGGAGGCTGAGATCTGAGGATCTCAGTTGGAAGCCAGTTCGGGCAGGAAAGTCCATGAGATTTTTTTTTTTTTTTTTTTTTTTGTTGGTTGTAGGGCTTGAACTCAGGGCCTGGGTGCTATACCTATGTTCTTCAGCTCAAGGCGAGCACTCTACCGCTTGAGCCACAGCACCACTTCCGGTTTTCTAGTGGTGTATTGGAGATAAGAGTCTCAGGAACTTTTCTTCCTGGGCTGGCTTTGAACGCTGATCCTCAGATCTCAGCTTCCTGAGTAGCTAGGATTACAGGCGTGAGCCAAGGCCTGGGCTGTCTGTGAGATTTTGCATTGAGCAAAAGAGCTCAGGGAAAGCTCCTTGGTCCTGATTTCAAGCCTCATGACTGACCAAAAAAAGTCATTAACATTTAAATTCCTGATGACACCTGCATGCCCCAAACTTCTCTTCATTTTCACTCTCATTTTTTTTTGGTGGTCTCTGAAAAGAGGCTAGGCAAATGTACATGTCATGCTGAATTGGAAATGCTATTAAACTTCATTAAAACAAATCTGCCTTTTTTCTAGTTCAGCACCTTGTAAAATGTAGTTAATATGTTGAAGCAACTGAAAATAGCTATTTCTAACTGAAAAATCTCAAACTTCCTAGAGTCCAAGAGCTTATGTCTGATGCTCAGCGAGAAGCAGGACGGATTCCACGAACAATAGAATGTGAGCTTGTTCATGACCTTGTGGATAGTTGTGTCCCAGGAGACACCGTGACTGTTACTGGAATTGTCAAAGTCTCAAATGCTGAAGAAGGTATAGTATAACTCCTTCCCCATACTTGTCTCTCAGCCTTAATCTTTTTTTATCTATAAAGATACTTTTAAATGATTTAGGGAATTCATTGTTCCTTATGTAAGATGGAATGTTTTCCTTAAAATAAAGGTTTATTTATATATCATTGTGACTTTCTTTAGCATTCTAGTTGAGTCATCATAGGCAAAAATGAAAATACCAATGATTGCATTTAATACTGTGAATTCACAGGTTCTCGAAATAAGAATGACAAGTGCATGTTCCTTTTGTACATCGAAGCAAATTCTGTTAGTAATAGCAAAGGGCAGAAAACCAAGACTTCTGAGGATGGTTGTAATCATGGAACATTGATGGAATTCTCACTTAAAGACCTTTACGCCATTCAAGAGATTCAAGCTGAAGAAAACCTGTTTAAACTCATTGTCAAGTAGGTATTGAGGTTACCTGAAGTTATATTACGTATGTTCACATTGAAGGTGCTCTTGGCTACAAGTAACAAGGACTAATCAAAATAACCAAATCCAGCTTATCACTCATTCTGACATGGCCTTTGTGCTAAGAATAAGTTTTATTTTTAATGTTTGAAAAACATCCAGAGTCTAGCTCATGACATGAAATTCAGGTCTCAGTGTCCACACATAAAGATTTGCTGAAACATAGCCATGTCTAGTCTGTCCTTAATGTATTTGGCTGCTTTTGTGCTATGGTGGCAGAGTTGCATGTATATATGACTCATTGATGTTTGTGCTCTGATACTTTACAGTAAAATGTTTTGATTTTTAGTTTAAATAAGAATAGAAACTATCCCCCACAAATTTGTTATTCAGTCTATCTCAGGAAGTTGTTCTGAAGATTAAGGAAATTTTATAATATACTTCAAATTAACACAGCATTCTGTTAGATGCTTTTCCAATATTTTTTTGGATAATTTTGAAGAAATGGGAATAAGACAGACTTAAGAGTTATGAAGTAAATCACTGAGATTTTGTATCAGAGAAAGTGGATCTTGGTGAAAATACCTAGGTTGTGGGCTCTGGCTTTTTCTTTCTGCCTTTGGCATACTAATTTACCACCTGAAGAAGTAGTAGTTCTTGGGGGCTCTTAAACCCTCTAACTAGTCCCTGAAACATACTCTTGCTAAGACAGTGTGCTAATGTAGGGTACAGTGTGGACATGAGTTGTCTGGTAGCCTAGAAACAGCCTGGTTTGGGATGGGAACACATTTTTTATTTGTTCTTACTGCTTATGAATAAGATATAACATTTTCAGTATTTATTTAGTCAAACTCAGAGAAGATAATTTAGTATACAAAATATAGGGTTTTTTCCCAGTTTTCTCCCCTACCCATGTTTGTGAATTTAATTTCAAAATTAGAATTTTCTGTGGTCTTTAATTTATTAATTTGCAAATTGTCAAACTAGGTCAGTGGGGTTTTTGTTGTTGTTTTTCAGAAAAAGTTTTTAATAAAACAGCCTGACCCAGCTGGGTGCCCGTGGCTTACACCTGTAATCCTAGCTACTCAGGAGGCTGAGATCTGAGGATCGTGGTTCAAAGCCAGCCCAGGCAGAAAAGTCCATGAGACTCTTATCTCCAATAAACCACTAGAAAACCAGAAGTGGTGCTGTGGCTCAAGCGGTAGAGCGCTCGCCTTGAGCTGAAGAGCATAGGGACAGTGCCCAAGCCCAGAGTTTAAGCCCCACAACCGACCAAAAACAAAACAAAAAACAGCCTGACCCAATTCCTTTGGAAGCAGTTAGCTAAACATTATTTGTTTGGAAAATAATTCCAGAAATGTTGGTAGAGGGAAGGAAGAATTAATGTAGCAAAGGGATACTAGTCCACCTATGGTACCTTAATGAATGATTATCACTAGCAGCCAGGTCATAATCCTCCCAAGGCCCTGGAACACTACATTGTGTAAAATTAGCCTTGGAGTTTCTTCTAATGGCCCACACTTGAAGCTGCTCCAGGATAGGAAATACTGCAACATCCAGGTCTGGCCATCTGTCTACTGATGAGGCTTTTATGGGTATGGAAACTCTCTGGTAGAGAGGTATGGGTACCTTTTAGGATCTAGGAGTGGGAAGACAAGAATATCTTGAACAGTGAGTGCCAAGGGCATCTGGCAGGACTCTGTTTTTTGTGTTTACATATATTGAATTGGGATAAAGGCTCATATTTTAATTCCTGATTATATCTCTACCAACCCCTCCATTTTGTTTTACTTTCCTTGTTTATAAAATGAATAAATGTAAATATACTTCTTATATTTGTATTCTTACTGTCTGATCCTTTCAGAATTAAACTAGAAAACGTAGGGATTTTATTCAATCTTAACTTTTTGTTGTTGTTGTTGTGGGGCTTGAACTCTGGGCTTGGGCGCTGTCCCTGAGCACTTCAGCTCAAGGCAAGCGCTCTACCACTTGAGCCACAGCGCCACTTCTGGTTTTCTAGTGGTTTATTGGAGATAAGAGTCATGGACTTTCCTGCCTGGGCTGGCTTTGAATCACAATCCTCAGATCTCAGCCTCCTGAGTAGCTAGGATTACAGGTGTGAGCCACCGGCGCCCAGCTTTAACTTGTTTTGTACTGAGTTCACTGCTTAGTCTCCTTTCAGTGATGTGACTGCACGGGTCTAAAGATGTCTATTCATATGAAATATAATACTTGGGAGATCATGGTCCGTGATTATAGTGTAATTTAAAGGCTGGCTCTCAGAAGAACAACTGTATTTTTGTTAACTTGAAGATATTTTGCATATATATAATCTCTCTTACACAGGTACATTTTTTTGTGTGCCAGTCCTGGGGCTTGAACTAGGGGCCTTAGTGCTGTCCCTGAGCTCTTTTTACTCAAGGCTTGTGCTCTACCACTTTGAGCCACAGTGCTACTTATGGTTTTCTGATGGTTAACTGGAGATTAGAGTCTCACAGACTTTATTGCCCCTGCTAGCTTTCAATCAAGATTCTCAGATCTCGGGCTGGGAAGGTGGCCCAGTGGTAGAGCGCTTGCCTTGCATGCCTGAGGCCCTGGGTTCGATTCCTCAGCACCACATAAGCAAAAAAGAAAAAAGCTGGAAGTGGCGTTGTGGCTCAAGTGGTAGAGTGTTAACCTTGAGCTGAAGAGCTGAGGGACAGCGCCCAGGCCCAGAGGTCAGTCCCCACGACCGGACCCAAAAAAAAAAAAAAAGATTCTCAGATCTCTACCTCCTGAGTAGCTGGGATTATAAGCATGAGCCACTAACACCCAGCACTAGACAAATTTTTAAAAACATTATTTTATAGATTAACCAATAATTTGTGGAAAATACAACTTCTTGGTGTTTGAGGGGGGGATATAATTTTTTGGTCTGTTTTTATATCAAATAAAACATATTAAACAAATTATATCTTCTAATGAATCTGTGAAATGTAAAATACAGTTTATAAATTGTATTCTTTTTTGCAGCTCCCTTTGCCCTGTCATTTTTGGTCATGAAGTAAGTATTTTACTTCTTCCTTCAAAAATATATATAAAATTCACAAAATTAGTGCTTTAAAATTGCTAGTGTCTGTTACCATTTACATTTCTGTGAGTCTTTATTCAAAATAACGATGATGTGAAGACCGATGGCCTGTCTCTTGTAAGAAAATTTTTTTTTAATTGTGAAAATACTGTACAGAGGGGTTACAATTACATGGGCAAGATAATGAGTACATTTTTATCAAGCCTCCTTCTTTGTTTCCCCTTCCCATCCCTTCCCATCCTCCCCCCGCCCCCTCAACAAGAAAAATCTTCTGACAGTTTAGGATAGGAATGGTCTTTCCTCAGAGTTGACTGTTGAACATTGTAAGTTAAAGCATGAGCCAACAACTATTTCTCATCTTTATGGAATGGGATGAAGCCTTACAAAAAAGGACCTATACTTAGTAATTTCTAAGATACTCCTTTTATTTTTTTTAATATGCTTTCAAGTTTTTGCTTTTTAATTATATATAGAAATTTATGTTTCTAGACTTTTTTTTGAGAGGGTCGTATTTTGTAGTCCAAGCTGACTTTGAATCCTTGATCTTCCTAACCTTGTCTCCTAAGTGTTATGAGTATAGGTGTTTACCACCATACCTGGCTTTGCTTCTAGGTTTTTATTTTTTTAATTTTATTGTGTGAGTGATATACAGAGGGTTTGCAGTTATGCTTCCAGCTTGGGGTTAAGAGTCTCACAGACTTTCCTGACCAGACTGGCTTCGAACTCTGGTCCTCAGATGATCTCCTCTTGAGTAGCTAAGATTATAGATGTGAGCTACTGGTGCCCAACCCATGCTTTAAAAAAAAAAAATCTATCTGGGAATTTAATTTAGTAGTATAGCATTTGACTACTTTATTGTCATGCTCCAGGTCCTAGGTTTCATCTTCAGCACCACACACTACAAAACAAAACCAACAATAACAACTCCAAACAAATCAGTAATAGTGGTAGTGCTGTAAATATAGGAGGAAGATTACTTCTGTTGCTAGTCATTTTAATTAATTTTTTTTTCTTCACTCTTGAGCTTGTTAAAGCAGGTTTGGCATTAGCACTCTTTGGAGGTAGCCAGAAATATGCAGATGACAAAAACAGAATTCCAATTCGAGGAGACCCACATGTTCTGGTTGTTGGAGATCCAGGCTTGGGAAAGAGTCAGATGCTACAGGTAGAAAAATAAATCATTTAGTATTTTGGCTTCTTACTTATTCAATGTATGGATATTTGGCAAGCATATTTTCTCAAAGTATGCTATCTTCCAGAGGATCTAGTTTGGTGATATCGGTGAATTTAGCATTTCTGAGTAATGTTCAATGTTTCTATGACCCTGCTTTCAAATTGAGCTATGAGCAAGAAAGCTGAGAGTGTGAGGCCCTGAGTTCAAACCTCCCCACCACCCCCAATACAGGAAGTAGTGGTATGGCTCAAGTGGTAGAGCACCAGCCTTGAGCAGAAAAGCCAAGCAAGAACTCTAGGATTAGCTAAAACAACTACAACAAAAACAAATAAAAAATCTCTTAAAAAAAAGCCACCTGAAACACCCCACAAATCTAATACTTACAATTTGCTATTTACACTTGAAAATGAACCTTTAGTGGTAATTTGTTGAATATTTGCATCACTACAGACCCCAGAGTTAAACTGTCTGTGCTTCTTGCCTTCATAACTGTAGTTTCTTACTCTTTGTAGATCTTGGTTACTCTATCAGTAAGTGGGAATATAATAATTCCTTCTTTAGTGGTGAGGATCATACATGGAAGTTCTTAAAAGACTACCACTAACCTTTTTGTGTGGTTATCTCTTGCTATGATTTCCCTGATACTCAGTGTTTCTTTCAAATCTTTTGTTCTATAGGCAGCATGCAACATTGCTCCTCGTGGTGTGTATGTCTGTGGTAATACCACAACCACCTCTGGTTTGACTGTAACTCTTTCAAAAGACAGCTCCTCTGGTGATTTTGCTTTGGAAGCTGGTGCTCTGGTGCTTGGTGATCAAGGTGAGTTACCCAAGGGAATAATAATTCGTACTTTTTTTCTTTGGAGACAAAAGTTTCTCAGTGTAGTTGAGGCTAGCCTCAAACTCTTCATCTTCCTGCTTCAGCCTCCCAGACTTGTACCACCATACCTGAATTAACTTAAAAAAATTAATTTCTTTAAATTTGTTTCAAGAAGCATTTGGGATAGCACTGTCTTAATGGATTGACAGTGGTTGTCAAATTGATCATTAGAAATACAGGATTATCAATTTTATTTATACTGCACAGTTGAAACTGATACTTAATATCATTCATTATTGGGATTTTATAGCAGATACAATTTGTAAAAATTAAGTAATTTCTTTTCATACCCTTACATTTGTGTCTTCAAAAACATTTTGATGCTTTCTAGTAAGTACTATGAAGGATAGGACTTGGGTATCTCATTGACTGCTTGTTCTCATATACATAGTATATACCTCCTTTCCAGAGGTGCAGTAGGACATAGATACACACAGTAGTGTTTGTTGGATACAGAACTTTTACTTAGCCCAAAATAGTTCATTACCTTGAAACTGAAAAGGATATGGTATGTATTGTCCTTTGAGCTTGAAGGACATGACAAGAATTTAGAATAATAGAATTTAGAATTAATAAGTTAGAATTAATGGGTTTGCTGTATTTAAACTCGTTTTATCGATAGTTTTCAGAGTTTGAATGGTAGTTTATTTTTGAATGGTAGTTTATAAGAAACTGAGTTAGACCACGTCCCTCGTTTCCTCTTCCCTGTCCTACTGGCCTTCTTGATATACCTCTGAACACCATCAGCACAAGCACATCACATTTCTGCACAGGGCTTTGTACTTGCTATTCTCTTTGCCTGGAGGATTCTTTTCCCAGACATGTCCATGAGGCTGGTTCTCTTTCCTCCATTATGGTTTTGTTCCAGTGTTCCTTCTCCCTGTCTCTGACCTATACACCGTTTTCTTGTTACATTATTCTACTTTTTCTTTCCATAGTAATTATCATTTTCACATGATTTGCTTTTGTAATTTTCTGCCTCCCCTCAGCCAAGTATAATGTAAGTTTACAAAGCAGGGATGATTGTCTTTTCAGTGCTATATCCTGCATGCCTAGGTCATAGTACTGGTAAATAGTAGGCACTCAATAATATCTGAATGAATAAGTTCGACAAATAACTTATGTGTTTTTATAGCTCATCAGAGTAAAAAAGTATTTTTAAGAGGTGTAGGAAATATGCAAATAAAAGGGATAACATTGTTAAGCTGTCAGACTTTGTATTAATTTGAAGTAGGTTTAGCCTCACAGATGAGATTTAGGATGCAAAATATTAATGGCAGTGCCACCTCTTCCAAGTAGAGGTAGATAAGCTAATAAGCACTATTATGGTAGCATAGCATATGGTTGTTTAAAAAGAAAAGATTTTGACAACATATACCATGAAAAATATAAAGGGAAGCTCAGCAGAGACTGGCTTCTAGAAACATGTACAAGGTCCTGCTTAAACTTTCAGGAGAAATAAAGGGATTTTCTTTTTTTTTTTGGTCGGTTGTGGGGCTTGAACTCTGGGCCTGAGCGCTGTCCCTCAGCTCTTCACCTCAAGGCTAAGCATTCTACTACCACTTGAGCTACAGAGCCACTTCCGGTTTTCTGGTGGTTTATTGGAGATAATAGTTTCACGGACTTTCCTGCCCAGGCTGGCTTTGAACTGCGATCCTCAGATCTCAGCCTCCTGAGTAGCTAGGATTATAGGCATGAGCCACCAGCACCAGGCAAAGGGCTTTTCTTTTTTTTGGGGGGGGGGGTCCGGTCGTGGGGCCTGAACTCTGGGCCTGGGCGCTGTCCTTCAGCTCTTCAGCTCAAAGCTAGTGCTCTACCACTTGAGCCACAGTGCCACTTCTGGCTTTTTTTGCGTATGTGGTGCTGAGGAAATCAAACCCAGGGCCTCAGGCATGCAAGGCAAGCGCTCTACCACTGAGCCAACTTCCCAGCCCCCAAAGTGCTTTTCTTTATAACTATATTCCTTCAGCAGTCAATGAAATGCCTCCTTCAGCCCCCCAATAGTTGAATGTTATATACAGGCAAAAGAGTTTAATATGTTTTAAGTTGAAATATTGTACTTTAAAAGCCAGGCACCAGTGGGTCACACCTATAATTCTAGCTACTTAGGAGGCTGAGATCTGAGGATCATGGTTCAAAGCCAGCCTGAGCAGGAAAGTCTGTTAGACCTACCTCTGATAAACTACTTAGAAGCCAGAAGTGGTGCTGTGGCTCAAGTGGTAGAATATTAGACTTGAGCAAAGGAAGCTCAGGGATAGTACCTAGGCCAAGAATTCAAGCCCCAGGTCCCCCCAAAAACAACAAACAAGAAACACACACACACACACACACACACACAAACACACGCCCCAGGTCCCCCAAAAAACAACAAACAAGAAACACACACACACACACACACACACACCTTCAAGTCCATGGTCAAGCCTAATACACACACACACACACACACACACACACACACACACCTTCAAGTCCATGGTCAAGCCTAATACACACACACACACACACACACACCTTCAAGTCCATGGTCACACACACACACACACACACACACACACACACACACACCTTCAAGTCCATGGTCAAGCCTAATCTGTTTCAGTATATTACACAGAGTAAAACTTTTTTAAAAAATATTTTTTATAGGATTGTAAAAAACAAAAACCCAAAGGACTGGGGACATAGCTCAAGTGGTAGACCACAGCAAAGCCTAGAGTTTAAACCCAAGTTTGAACCAAACAGAGCTAAGATTTTACTTTTGCCTCTTTAGAGAAAATGTTTACTGCATCCTTTTGGAAAGCGTCAGCTAAAGAAACAAATAACTTCATTTTGCTCATACCCTGCACTGACCTATGAGGAGCTGTACTAGGTCTATCAGTTCTAGAGAGGTGTGGAAAGATGTAGCACAGGGAAATGTCCGGGTAAAGCCTTCAGGGGCCTCACTGTCAGGATCTATGCACAGATCCACAGCTGGTGCTGGTTAAGTTAAAGGTGTGGTTATGAGCACAGACTTGTCCAGTATAGGGGGTTGAACTTTGTCAGAAGAGAGAAGGTAAATAAAAACATAGAAAGGCAGCATGAAGTCCAACCATCTCCTAGCTTTCTCTTCCAAAGTCCTTATTAGGGTACCAAAAAGTATCATAAGCCTCTGCTTGTGAACTGTGCTTGGAAAAGGAAAAAAGGAGCTTTTTTTTTCGGGGGTGGCAGTGGAGAGGAAGGGGTTAGTCTTAGGCTTGAACTAAGGGCCTGGGCATTGTCCTGAGATTTTTTTGCTCAAGGCTAGTGGTATACCACTTGAACTACAGCTCCGCTTCTGGCTTTTTGCTGGTTAATTGGAGATAGGAGTCTCATGGACTTTCCTGCCTGGGCTGACTTCAAACCTCAGGCCCAGATTACAGCCACTTGAGCAGCTAGGATTATAGGTGTGAGCCACTGGCACCTGACTTTACATGTACCTTTCTTATCTTGCATGCTTGAATTTATACATTTTGAAGGTGACTCTTAATATCTTCGTTTTTGGAGCCCATACCAAATAGTGCCTTACCTGTAAAAGTGGTAAGTGAATAAATATTGAACACCACCTCGTTAAATAACAGTGTGAACATTTCTGGAAGATAAACAATAATTCTCTCTTGTATGGTATTTGCTCGTTTTAACTCCTGAAAGCAAATGTAAATTCTTCTTTATTGTGGAATAGTTTCTACCTTATAAAATTCAGAACTTGGCCAAAGAAAAATATTTTTTAATCTATTTCTTATTGTAGGCATTTGTGGAATAGATGAATTTGATAAGATGGGGAACCAGCATCAAGCCTTGTTAGAAGCCATGGAACAGCAAAGTATTAGTCTTGCTAAGGCAGGTGTGGTTTGCAGTCTCCCTGCAAGAACTTCCATTATTGCAGCTGCAAATCCAGTTGGGGGACACTACAATAAAGCCAAAACCGTTTCTGAGAATTTAAAGTAAGTCTTCAAAGATTTATACTTTTAATCTTCAATTCCTACGAAGCAATATAAAAGGAGATAACTGAAGTCAGGGAAGTTACAAAGTATCTAATAAATAAATGTGTTTAAACACTACAAATTAAAACAGTGATGTTCCATTGGTATCTAACAGATTGGTGAACATTTTTACATATACATATATTTATGTATTATTGTAAAGGTAATGTACAGAGGGGTTACAGTTACATAAGTCAAGTAATGAGTACTTTTTTTTTGAAAATGTCACCCATCCTTTGCTCTCTCACAGTTTTTCCCTCCCATCTCCATCCACAAGTTCTAGAGTTCATTTTCAGCATAGTGTCCAGTGACACTGCTGCATTTGTTCACAATTTTTGTGCACTTCTCTTTCCCTCCCCGAAACAGATAAACTTACATACAAGACAAAAGGTACAGAAAACCAAAACAGCAACAAAGGGAAAAAAAACCCAAAACCTCTTGTTCCCATTTCTTGGTGTTCATTTCAATAACTATTATTTTATATGATCATATGCACATAGATATTGAGCATCCTCCTTGGTAAACATTTAAACATTGAACAAAGCAGTGGAGAAATGATTTCTCAAATATTGTGCAAATACCATAATTGATCTTTTTTTTTTTTGCAATGACCTGCAGGTCTTTATTCTAGAATACGAAGGGCCATGTTGTATCCACCCAACCCCAAATTTTACCCTTTCATTAATGAGGTCCCTCCATAGTCTCTTTTATGACAGGGAGCTTTTGAAAACAGGTCAAACCCAGGAGATTCTTAAATTTGTTCCTTCCCCCCTTCCCCCCAATACTATTCATAATTGATCATTTTGAAGGACAAGTTGGTACATTTATTGCAGTGTTTTAAATCTGTCTTCCATTTATTCTAGCCATTGTACTTTTAGTAATCCTACTTAGAGAAATAAAGATGTTTTTGTAGGGTAGGTATAAAGCATTATTTATCATTGTCCTAAATAAAAAACAAAACTAGAATAATATTGTTCAATGAAAAACAGCAGTTTGGGGCTGGGAAGGTGGCTCAGTGGTAGAGCCTTGCATGCATGAGGCCCTGTGTTCTATTCCTCAGCACCACATAAGAAAAAAGAAAAAAGCCAGAAGTGGCGCTGTAGCTCAAGTGGTAGAGCACTAGCCTTGAGCTGAAGAGCTGAGGGACAGAGCCCAGGCCCAGAGTTCAGGCCCCATGACCGGACCCAAAAAAATGAAAAGAAAAATAGCAGTTTGAAGAATGGACGTGGCTTTGTATGTAGTAATAAGCGAATATGTTTGTATACTTTATTAAGTAATAAGATTGTGTTGAATACTTACATAGTGATTCCACTTTTTTTCCAAAATTGCTGCCTATATTTGCATTGAGCACTTTTTCTCTTTTACTTTATTTTGTATGGTTGGACAGGATGTAGGGAAAGGCAAAAACAGCATTAAATGACGGCCAAATGAATGAAAGTTAGAACCTTAAGTCTAGTGGAGGAAAACCTTAAGTCTAGTGGAGGAAAACTTCCTTCCTTGTTTTTCCTTCCAGACAGGAGTTTTACTATATTTATGTTGTCCATGCTAGTCTCAAACTCATAGGCTCAAGTGGTCCTCCTACCTGAGCCTCTGCAGTAGTTGAGATTATAGGCATATAATCCCATGGACTGACTAGCTTCCTAATGTTTAACAGCTTGTACATTTATGATAGGAAAGTCATTGACTCATCATAAGACACTTGGAGACATTTCTGTACTACCAAAATCAAAAACATCTTGGGTAGTTTTCCTTGGGTACATACTGGAAAGATCCTACTGGATAAAAATACAGGGAACATAGATTTTGCAATTTAGTGGTATTATAGACATGCTTTGGTTCCTTTGTTAAATCCTTTTTTTTGGGGGGGTGGGGGGGGGTCCTGTCGTGGGCCTGAACTCTGGGCCTGAGCTCTGTCCCTCAGCTCTTCAGCTCAAGGCTAACGCTCTACCACTTGAGCCACAGCACCACTTCCGGCTTTTTTTTCTTTTTGCTTATGTGGTGCTGAGGAATCGAATCCAGGGCCTCAGGCATGCAAGGCAAGAGCTCTACCACTGAGCCACCTTCCCAGCCCTACTTTGTTAAATTCTTGAATCGCTGTGCATTTCATTTTTTTTGTATCTCAAGAGTTACGTGGGTTGAGGGTTCAGAGAATATGACTAAATGGAACTTAACACATTTATTCTAATGACTAGTAAGGACAGAGATGTCCTTGAAGAAAAGGTAAGGTTTTACTTCTAAATGTGATATGGGTGCTTTGAGAGACTCAATGTTGTGGTGTGACCAAAAAAATAGAACTTCTTAATTAGCCAGTGGCTGGTGGATCACACCTATAATCCTAGCTACTCAGGAGGCTGAGATATGGGGATTGTGGTCCAAAGTTGGCCTGGACAGGAAAGTTGTGAGATTCTTACCTCCAATTAAGCACTAGAAAACTGGAAGTGTAGCTGTAGCTCAAATGGTAGAGTATTAGTTTTGAGCAGAAAAGCTTAGGGGCAGGCCCGAGTTCAAATCCTATGACTGGAGCTGGGCACCGGTGGCTCATGCCTGTATTCCTAGCTACTGAGGAGGCTGAGATCTGAGGATCGTGGTTCAAAGTCAGCCCAGGCAGGAAACTCCATGACACTCTTATCTCCAATAAACCACTAGAAAACCAGAAGTGGCGCCATGACTTAAGCGGTAGAGCGCTTGCCTTGGGCTGAAGAGTTTAGGGACAGTGCCCAAGCCCAGAGTTCAAGCCCCATGAATGACCTCCCCCCCAAAAAAAAAAAATCCCATGACTGGAAAAGAAAAAATAAAACTGCTCAATTAGCTAACATCTGATATAACGTATATAGCATTGCCAGTGACAGGAGATCAATAACACTTCAGTAGTTTTCTTTTCTTTTCTTTTTTCCTTGACAGTCCTGGGGCTAGAACTCAGGGCCTGGACTCTGTCCCTGAGCTTTTTTGCACTTTACCATTTGAGCCACAGTTCCACTCCAGCCTTTTCTGTTTATGTGGTACTGAGGAATCGAACCCAGGGTTTCATGCATGCTAGGTGAGCAATCTATCACCAAGCCACATTTCACAGCCCACTTCAGTAGTTTTCATGGTATAAGGGCTATAGGGCTGGGAAGGTAGCTCAGTGGTAGAGCATTTGCCTTGCATGCATGAAGCCCTGGGTTCAATTCCTCAGCACCACATAAGCAGAAAAGAAAAGCCGGAAGTGGC